TGGGGGTTATGAAGCAGGGTTTTTCTCTAGTCCTTAGGCCTGCACAGCACAGAACTACTCAATTCACTTTCTCTCTGGCTTCTCTTACACATAGATCTGATTACAGAACAGGAACACAACAAATACAACTATTTCCATGTATCCAGTTCATTCTTTCCATTTCAGAATTATTCTTGTTGGCATGAGCTGGAATATAATTGTCTGAATATGTTGTCAATTACAGGCAGTGCTGCCTGTGATTGACGTATCTCTCCTCCAATCAATGTTTGACCTCTGGCATGGGGTGGTGCTGCCTGTGATTGACATACCTCTCCTCCAATCTGTGCATACCCTCGGGTACAAGGCGATGTTAGAAGACACTGTGCTAAACTGTTTCTGTCTCAATGTACCCCTCCCCAAGAGACAGGGCCTGCTGTCCTGAGTACCCATGAAGAGTGAAAGCTGCACATTCAGCTGCTGATGTACCTCACAGTGAGAGTGGCCAGCGGTTATCCTTGATTGACTGGGAAGCTGTTTGGAGAGGCAGGGCTGGTCTTCCTTATTAATTAGGGATATTGAAAAGGTTCCTGTTAAATTCTAAAGAGATTACAAACAATGGGAAGGGGTGTTATGTGATGGAAAAAGCCCCTTCCTCTGCTAATTCACATGATTTCCTCATGCCAGGTTCCAATCTCCCATCTGGAAATGTGCTTGTTTGATCAAATGTGAAGATATCAACTTTTCACCTTACGATTTAAAAAAAAATCAGATTTAATGCAAAAAGAAAGAAAACTTACCAAATCATATGCATGCATGTTGTCTTTTTCAATTCAGTACATGTAGCGTTAAGATTTTTAAAGATCATATGAAGCACTAGATAGGTCAATCAATGTCTCAAATTATTTATTTGAAAAACGTTAGCAGCGTGTCCTCAGGATGATTAAATGATCACTTTTGAAAGTTGGTTGTAAATCTGTGTTAAAGCAAAACAACCTTGCAGAAATTACAATTGCTCTCATTTCTAGCGATTTCTATGGTATTTGTACTTACATAGGAAAAGGCAGAATAGCATTATAAAATGCATTCAAGTCCAAGAGACGTCGATCAAATAGCAAAATATCACGTGACCTTGTATGCGAGGCACTGTTCTTCCTGTTGGATTTTTGAATTGCTAGATCATATTTCATATTAGTGCAAACGTAAGCTTTCATGCTCTAGATATTTCTGATCAAATTAGTCAAAAAGAATTTGAATGGTTTAACTACTGTTAAAAAAAAAGTATATGGTATTTTACAATATCTCAGTTATTCCGTGCCAAGCTTAATTAAAAAGAAAAACAGTTCTGTGGAAAAACAGAAATTGGATTAGACTCATTCCTCTTGGAATAAAAAACAACATTTGTTTGCCCCTGAAACGCAGGAAGGTGTGGCAGTGAAGCTTGCACATTCTGAGCTACTGTGCACCCCATCTGTTTGCAGTCCTTCAACACAGTGTGGTTTATTGGCTTTCTGAAAGCACTTCCCCCGACTGTGGGTGCCTCAGCTTTTTTTTCCCATCACTGGATTCTTTTTTCCCTCTTTCTTTCTTGTCAGCTCTGTCATCGCCCAAGCGTGGCGTGTCTCTCTGAATTGTAAGTGCCTCCTCCACTCCTCCACTCCGGATTTATTTTTGCCGCGTGCGTTAACCCCTCTCGGCGTCACTGCCAGCAGAGCTGTCTCGGCAGATCGGTCTGGACGCCCAGCTGTCCTCAGAACCTCTCCGTGTCTGGGCCCTCCAGGCCCAGGATCTGATCCTAGCACAGCCACGTGTCCTGCAGAAGAAATTAGACATTGTTTTATTTGTATTCATCTTTTAACCTAAACTTCTGCTTTGAATACCTGACTTTGCTAGAGGCTGTGCTTGCTTCTCTGTAAGATCCTTCCTCCTCTCCTCCTGATGAAAGCTGCTCTCTGTGTTTAAGGGGCCAGAGGTGACAGAAATGAACTTTTAATCTTTTTTTTCTCCGGGTGCGCCTCTTAACATGCTTAACATGATCTCATCCTAACGAGAGACTTTAATTAATAAAAGCCCGAGAATCGGGGACGGACAGCTGTTAGAGTTGATTACCATCAGGCCTTTCACTTTGATTCCTTGAAACATTTGCTTCATTAAAGGTTCAAGTATGTATAATCCACCGTGGAGCCAAGTAAGAAGTATTACCATTAAGCGGTTTATTAAATAATTAAACCCAATATGTACCTGGAGAACTCGAGTGGAACAGAAACAAGCCCTGTTGGAGAGGGAAGAGGATGGTAGTTGTCATCTTTACCATGAAACGGGACAAAAACATCTCAGCTGTTTCAGTGAAAAAAGAGCTGGGCTATTCTCTCTGAATCTGGAGTTTTCCTGACATATAAAATAGACATGGAAGTGAAAAAAGCAGCAATTAAGATATAAAAACAGGAGCAGAAGACAGAAAATCAATTATCAGCCAGCACAAATGATTTTCTGATTTGCTCCATTTTGTTTATTGTCTTGTGGAATTCATTTTCTTAAATGGATCCAAATGGACCGTTTTTTAAAAGTTGCCAGATGCTCATGATTTACAGACAACCGGGCCTGGGAGGAGCAGAGCAGTCCAGTCGGAGAGAGACAGTCAGGGGAAAAAAAGCGTTTTGACGGAGGCGATTGGTCAGATTGTCTGAAAGCCAGGAGAGGAGAAGAATTTTAAGGGAACCCTTGCCTTTGTGAGTTGCGCAGGGTCTATTTCAAGTCCTGTAAGATTTGCAACGTTATTGTCGTGGTGCAAAAGCACTCAACAGCGACATACAGTAAATGCAGAAAAGAAGGGCGTCGAGCTGGAATTTAACAGACGCTGTGAGATTCATCTCGTGCTTCCGAAGCACAAATTGGTTTCTCTGTGTCCGTCTGTGTGAAAGGGATCTTTACTTCGCCCTGCTCCAGAAGAGACCAGGTGCATTGTCACAGGTCCCTGTGTGCACATTACAGGAAACAGTGCTCTAGTTTAATGGGGCCGGGAAATGTCCTGCGTTTTAAATAGGAAATGTATTGCTGCAACTGTAACCTTCTCAAGGTTCTGCTGGCAGCAACAGTCTTAACTATTTTAGTGTTACATAAGTCTTTAATTATTTATTGGAATCCCAGTTTCATGACACTGGCAGAGAGAGATCTACTGTATGGGCAGATAAACAACACGTGGGCCTGTGCTGAGTTGTTCTCTTTTTGGCTCCCCCCCGGATCGCTTGTTTGTGCCTTTGTCTCCACTGACGGGAACACGTTCCAGGTGAGCAGAGCACTGCCGTCAGAACTTGAATGTCACAGTTTAGTGATTCATGGCGGCGGCTCAACAGCGGTCTGACCCCTGTGGCTGCCGGCCTGATATTAAAGATCAGGGGGAAACAGCCGGGTCTCCCTGCGGATCTCTCCGGCTGCTAACCAATAGCCCAGCCCCCAGTGCCAGAGCAAAGCTGTCGGGAGGAGAGACTGATCCTTCCTTTATTACTCCCTGCGCAGATGATACGTCTGCACCAGCACCACTAGCACACTCTCCGGAATCAGATACAAATACTGTAGGTTCGCAAGTGAGAGATAAACACTTTCTCTTCTGTATATTGTAGGATGATCAGAGGATTGTTGCTTTAGGTACTCTACCTGTTCTTAGCAATTAAGCTGTGCAAGGTAGCATCCCTTGTTTGCCACAGTGATGGATCTCTTCTTCTGTAGTGTTGAGATGCAGTGGACCCTGTCTTACAGCTACATGCTGGAGATATTGTCTGCCGTCTTCATCCTTGAATCTAATGCAGTAACCTGCATGCTTTGCAGCAGTGCTCATTCCCATTTGGCTGAATGAAGCCCTTGTAAGTAGAAGATAAAAAGTAGAAAAGGGAAGCAGCCTTCTCCTGGGGAGTAGATGAGTAAGACCCACGACTTTAAGAAGAGTAAAGGACGATTTTGTTAAATGCTTTTGCAGGACAGCGACGGCATTTCTGCCAGATGGCTTTTGTACTCTTTTAATGGGGGTATTTCCTCATGTAGTGCTTATTGCTCTGGCACGAACTCTGGATGATTTTAAAAACGTGCACGAAAAACGCACAGTAAAAGAGCATCTGTACTTTAGCTGCACTTAGACTGGACCTTTAGGAATTGATCGGAGGCTGCACAACCCACCTGTTTTTTTACCCCAGAGCTTTGCAAAGCAGTGACCCAGAGTCGTCATTTTAACATGCACACCTCCACTTTGGTGATAACGCTTTATTTTTAGGATGACGTGTGGATACTCTCCCGAACAGGAGTATTTTGAAGTGAAAGCTGGTATCTGTGAAGATCAGCCTTCTATATGTGCCTGACTGATCATACAGCATTTAGCTTTGAGCTCAGGGCAGGGGGGAGGGGGGGTGCGGACTGTACTTAAAGCTGAAGTCAATCAAAAGAGATAACCCTGTCTGCAGGAAAGTGGTTGGGAGATTTACCAGTTGCTGTTCTAAACCCAGAGGCCCTGGGGGACTCAGGCGGGCTGAGGAGGAGTGCTTTTTGGATTTGGAGAGACAGTGCAGAGGTCTTTCATCTCTGAACTAGCACAACATGGATGGCATATGGATATTACAATTTTTCCCCCAATAGAGAATTATTAAAACATAAGAGCTGGATATGCAGAGATTTATTTTAAATACCGCCTGTGACTGTTAATACTATAGGACACAAGCCTTTACACCAAGGCTTGTGGGAGCCAGGAACAAGCTACCCAGTCATGACACCCTGGCTTCCTTAAGGCAACAGCTGGATCAATCAGCTACTGGCAACCATCAAGCTAGATGGTCCCGATCGACATGGTTTTTGTGTGGTTTCAAAAATCACTCGCTGCCTGAAAATCACCCTTCTCGTTGGCTGTGCTGGCACTTGTGAAATTGTCTTCCTTATCCTTCAAAATACTGATATGCAACAGCACGGTGAAGGGGCAGTGTCTCCCCCTCCTCCACCCCGTGCTGTCAAAGCTCCTGACGTAACTTCTTGTCCTTTTGCAGCTCATCACTTCATCTCGGTGACGGCGTGCGACGAGGCCTTCTACGTGCACGCCATCGAGGAGCACTGCCTGGCCAAGTTCACGTTCGACATGGAGGCCCTGGACCCGGGCTACTGGTGCAACTGGGAGGACACTGTGGAGTAAGAGACCTGCACTGGCCGCCTACCGGGGGCACTTTCAGAATAAGCTTTGCAGGACTGTCACGGGCATCTCTCTTGATCTTCTCGTATTTATTTAATTTTCATACTTCTTTAACTGGAGGCGATTATAAATTTCAGGAACTTCCCTATAGTGTGGACCATTTGTTTTCCTTTGTACTGGTTTGGGTTTAGGAAATGAGCCTACGTCTACGGTTTGCCCAGCTGCATTTGTTGTTAATTGGATGCAAATGATGGGAGCATTGTGGGCTGTCTTTGCTCTCTAGCTTTCTTCTCTAAGGTCCCTTTCTGTCTTGCAGAGGCTAAGGTCGATAGGTGACTTTGCATTATTGAGGCTGCGGTTCTTTAATGTTTTTATCACCACCCTTCAAACCAGCTGCGCTGGGTGAACCTGCTGGGTGAGCACTGCGTGTCTGGCCAGCTGGGTAACAGAGGAGATCAGCAGGAAACGGTGGATGGCCAGTGAACCAGAGGAAGACTGGAATTACAAAATGTGATGGTTAATCGACTGTGCGCGTTAGTTGATGTGGCTGTTGTGTTTTTAGTGTCCCTGCCGTGACATTGAGTAGAGACCAATGCTAAAGAGATTCAATGCTTAGGTACAGGTTGTTACTCAGAGACCTGGCTAGTAAAACATTAAACGCACTAAACCCGTGCATCCTGGATTCTTTCAGCTCTGGGCTGGGCAGGGGACTGGACAAACAAGTCCTTATTGTTTCTTTGGAAAAAATGATAGCAATAATAGCACAGGGTTCTTGAGCTCATTCCAGGGGGGACAAGTGAAAAAGCAAAAGTAATTTTCCCTGGGCTGTTTCCTCCCCACACACACTGCCCTTCCGGATTCTTGTCCTTTTCCCTTTGAAACCTCCACCTTTTCAACCTTTCACGCCAATAAAAGAAAGCGCGGATCTGGTCTACAACCTCATGGGCTGTCGCCAAAAGCACGCTGTGCGTCATGAAGCATAATTGCACGTCTGTCTGTGTGCTATTGCACATATACAGTAAGTACGGCAGGGCAAAGAGAGAGGCCAGTGGACTGCTTTTCGGTTCTCATCTGCAGTGTTCTGATTACATCTCAGGAGTAATGGAGAGAGCAGAAAACTTTTTCGGCGCAGTTGTTCTCCCAGGAGAGAAAGTAATTTTAGACCATTCCGATTATTTGAAAGAATTCCCAATCCGAGCTGTAGTTGTCCGCTGTGTCTTCCTCAAGAGGGGCGAACATGGAACAGTGCTGACATAGGCAGCTCCAATCGCAGTAAGAGCAGCCTGAACAAACAGGAACCTGTGTTTTTAGCACAGCACCCTCCTTTTACCTGCAGCTTTGTTTCGGTGTACCGAAACCCGACTTCTGACCTCTACAGGCAATTTTACTGGGCTGGAACAAATGCACCTGATACTTAATGCACCTTAATACAGAGCTCTGTTTTTCCACAGAAACCGCCTGCCTGTTTTGACATGCAAAGTTCTATTTTTGTACAGGAAGGGCTGTCCCCCCCACTGACACAACACCCAGACAACATCCTGCGGCGTGTGCTCCCTTAATCTGCCCCCCACTGCGCTCCTCCACTAGGTAAAGAGGTGCCACTAGGTTTCGCCCATTTGCTGCCCTTTCTGTGACTCTGAATGATGGCGGACACTTGGCTCGTGATGGCTTGGCTTCTGCCAAACGTCACAATTTTTCAAGAGGCACGGCAGGCAAGAGAATATTTGTGAGAATTCTATTTGACAATTTGAGAGAATAAGTGCTTGACTGCTTTTTTAAAAACTGGCTTTTGCTTAGTCTGTGTTTTTTTTTTGGCAGCTCTCTTGAGATACAGTATAATGAAGAGGCTGCTAGGGGCTGAGAGTGTCTTCTGATGTAGGCGCCAGTTTGAGCTTGAAACCCGAACTTGAAATTTGACAGGGAAAAGAGCGCAAGCTGAAACACGTTGGAGCAGTGTGCTCAGAAGTAAGAAGCAGCTTGTGCAGAGAGACCCCCGTCAGCTTCTTGTCGGGCCTGTGCTCTGTGTCAGACGTGTGGCCTAGGGGTTTTTGGAAGTACAGATATGTCGGGGTTTTTCCCTGTTTCCAAGACGTCAGCACTGTTCGTGTTCGAATGGAACCTGCTTGGCGTGGAGGGCGGTGGTTTGAACAGGCCAGTGCTGTGTTACCCAGCAGGCCGAGCGGCCTCAGGGGCGTGCAGTGACAGCAGCAGCCTGACCCGCGTGGCGACTTTGTGTTTCTGTGAGGTACCGTGTTGCACTCCGAAACTGTTCTCCTCCCCCTCCCCATGAACATACAGTACAGTCCCATCTGTTTATTCCGGGAACCCACAGGCCTCCCCACCTCAGAGCCTGTGCTGCAGAGAGGACGTCTGGTCACTTCCTCATTCCTGGGGCCCTGGCCCCTGGGTTTGCTGGTGCTGCTGCCCAAGACAAAGAGGCCTTCTGCAGTCTTTGACCTCCAGAACTCCCACAGACTCTGAACAACCCGTCTGAATTCATGCTGCAAGAAATAAAAGACGTTGCAGATGAGAGGAGGCCTTTTGCATTTGGTAGTTAGTAGTTAATGCATCCAGCCATTAATGTAGCCAGGTTACTGACTTTAACAACATGGCTGGGCGGCTTGTTCCAGACCCCTACAACCCTTTGGGTAAAGAAGCGTCTCCTGTTCTTAGCTTCTCGCGTAGTTCCCACTTGTGCCCTCTGGTTCATGTTTCACTGCTCATTCAGATGAAATCTGCTGGGTTGAATTTGTTAGTGTCTTTGAGGATTTTGAATAGTTGTTTCAGGTTACCCTTCTCTGCTCAAGACTATAAAGATTCAGTTTCTTATCAGTGTGGGACTTAAGCCCTGAAATGTACAGTGTCTGGTAGATGGACTGTGAACTGATAGCAGAGCGGTGTATTTTCATGGTGATAACATGCTGACCACAATTGCACACAGGACACTAAATGAAGCCTGGCTAGTATGTTAGCTGTTCATTTTTAAGAGAACATCCAGTTTTTAAATTCTCTGCCTACCTTAGCTACAGTATATACTGTATACCAGCATTTTGTTTGCCTTTTTAATCGTTTCCCTGTATTGTGTAGAATATGGAAATAAGTCAATCTAAACACCTCAGTCTTTTTCATGAGTAGCCCCTTTGAGCTCAGCTTTTCCAATTTGGTATTTATACTTTGTTTTTACTACCTGCGTGCAAAACCCGGCACTTGTCTACATTAAAGGTCATCTGTCGGGATGTTGGCGAAGTTGTGAATTTTATTTAATCTTTTTGAATACTGTTGTTTATATGTAGCATTTTATCTTGGCAATCATTCTGAGCAGTATTTGGATAAAAACCTGTTTGTTTTCCCCCAAAATAAAACAAAAAACATAAAAACTCCCAACAGGGTCGATCTAAAACTCCTCTTGCATAGCAGTTTGATCCATTTCATGTCCGGCCTTGTGCAAATATCCTAAGTCTCTGTCCTTTCTTGTTGGTGCAGGAGGGCACTCCTTATGTCTGGACTCCAGAGTGCGCAGGGACAGCAGCCCTGTGTCATGACACTGTTCTGTAAGCAGACACCGCTGACGCTGGCCAGGGCAGACATGGGGGGCCATCTGTCTCTGATTGCAGAGAGGCGGACAAGGTATCAGGCTCTCAGCACTCAGAGTCACCTTTTATCTGCCTTGATCAATTCTGGTGACAGGGATATCCAGAGCTGTTTTGCAATACAGCACCCAGCAGGCACAAACACAGTCCTATCCGGTAGTTTGCGTATCTTCAGTATGCATACGATGGTATGGAGCAGCTCATGCGTAAGGCTAATGGTTTTACTACAATTGCAGGAGAGCTTTACACTCTGAGCAGGGTTGTGGGAGCCTGGAACAAGCTATCCAGTCACGTTATCGAAAACTGACTCGCTAGTTCCTTTCTGTAAGGAGCTGTATACGATTTTTAGAGCTGCTAAAAACCCCACAGGTTCTCATTTTATTAACTTCATGTTCTAACTTTCTGCCTGGGTCTTGCCCTCCAGCGTATGAGTAAACACTCTTTCATAACACCGGCTGGGCACCGAACTCGAATTCTCACTTTTGCTCTTGATGGAAAATATTGTGCCGGGAAATGTCAGTTCCAAGGAAATAAAAAGAAATGCCACTGTTAATCTCAGTTTCCAACGAAACCTTAGAACTGCTTTCACAAACCATGATTATTTGTGCCAGCAAGAATATTAACCCAAAGATGTTTCACATTTCAGGTCTTATAGGATGAAATTGGAGGAATCAAAGATTTTGTTCGGCTTTGCCATGCTTACCTTGCGTTTCTTCCGGGTGCTCTGCTTTCCTTCCATAGATTAAAGGCCTTGTAGTAGGTGAATTGGCTTCTGAGAAAACGAGGCCTGGTGATAGTGTGTGCATGTCTGTGCGGCGCGCCGCGACGGACAGGCGATCCATTCAGGGTGATCCTGCCTTGTGCCCATTGCTTGCTGGGATAGGCTCCGGCTCCCCCTGCAACCCTGTATTGAATAAAGCCGTTAGAGTTAGAAATTGAATGGATGGATGAAAAAGTAGCTCAAATTTCCATTACAGACAGGTTAAAAATGTTTTCACGCCTAATCCGACGACCTCCGAGTGGCGTGGTGAGGTGGCGGTGTTGAGTGACCTGCCGAGACCTCAGATCTCCACGATGGTTTGGAATTGTCTGTCTGTGTGGAGTTTGCATGTTGTTCTGCAATTGCAGGTTTTACCTAAGAGATGTCGGTGAGATTCTGCTTCCCTGTGGTTCTATCACAGATCGGCCTCAAGTACAGGGAGGGCAGCAGTATTCTCTTAATCCTGCCTGGTGCTCTGTGATTCCAAGATTCAGTTTTCGCAGAATTTGTCTGGGATAATCGGCTGGGAACGCCTGGATGTGTGATGATGTCTCGTAATGTAACGTGTCATCAGTGTAATTGAAAGAAACCACCACAACATAGCTGTGCCTTAAACTCAGCTTCAGCTCATATCTCCCAGGAACTGCAG